GATCCTCACTCCAGCCCTGTAGGGGGACACGCCATCCGCTGGATCCTGCCACAGCCCTGTCCTCCATGGCAAGGCACCTCGGCAGGGCCAGGCTAATGAGAGAAGGACCAGGAGCAAATCTTGTCCCTCGAGTGTCCCACGCTTTGGGAGGAGAGAATGAGCTCTCAATAGTAAGATAATACAGTTATGACACTGAAAGGACACCCACACTATTAACCACACGGGTTTGGCCTCTATTGCATCTCTGCCAGCTCTGCATATCAGTCTTCCGCTTTGACTCTGCTCCACGCTCCTTAAAAGGTAAGGTTGATGTTTTCTATTTCGCACCTCACACAGGGTCCAGCCTGTGGTGGATTAGCAGTTGGTGTCCATGACGTGCCCTCTTCTGCTTCTTTGCTTTAACAAGACCAGCACAGTGAAAGGGCAGACTGGCATGCCAGGCCAGCTTTGGTTCTCTTTCCTTCCAGCTTTTCACTGCCATAGGACTTAGCCTCTCAGGTAAGACAGGTACCCCCCTCTCCTCTTCTTGTGTGCTGGGGTGTGCTCGTACCAGCTGGTACTGTAGACAGGCCTGAGGGTAGTAAGACTAACAATACACCTTACCAGAAAGCTCTACGCTGGAGTTAAAAGCACTAGTCCAACCAATAATAGAGCGATGCCTTGTTCCCCAGTAGTCATTGTCTGTGTTTATACATCTTTCAGGAATGTCATGAGAAGGCTACAGTAGGACTTAGGAATGTCTACTGTCCTTGGTCTGAACATAACCTGATCAGCACCAGAATCTCATCCTAAGCTGCTAATACATTCATCTTTTAACAATGTTTTGCATGCTCAGAGAGAATCATGGAGAGAGAAAGGATGTATGGCTGTCTCTCACTCTCCTGGGACTCTGCCTCCTAGATTCCTGTCAACATTTTGTCCCTGTTGGTCTTGCTCAACTTCCAACCTGCAACGTGGTCAGTAGTTGAGTTACCTTCCGATCCTTGGTAGGCTTATCGTCTCTAATAGCATCTCCTACTGATGGTGGCTCTTTCTCTCAGATTGACCTTGTTGGGCGCCTGGGTGGCTCAGTCGTTAAGCGTCTGCCTTCAGCTCAGGTCATGATCCCAGGGTCCTAGGATCGAGTCCCACATCAGGCTCCCTGCTCAGCAGGAGACCTGCTTCTCCCTCTCCCACTCCCCTTGCTTATGTTCCTGCTCCCGCTGTGTCTCTCTCTGTCAAATAAATAAATAAAATCTTAAAAAAAAAAAAAGATTGACCTTGTCCTAGAAAGAGCAACCTTTACCTTGTCACTTAAAAAGAACAATTGTGTAAGACTGTTGCATCACAGACCTGTACCTCTGAAACAAATAATACATTATATGTTAAAAAAAAAAAAAGAAGATAGTAGGAAGGGAAAATTGAAGGGGGGGAATCGGAGGGGGAGATGAACCATGAGAGACTATGGACTCTGAGAAACAAACTGAGGGTTCTAGAGGGGAGGGGGGTGGGAGATGGGTTAGCCTAGTGACGGGTATTAAAGAGGGCACATATTGGATGGAGCCCTGGGTGTTATACGCAAACAATGAATCATGAACACTACATCGAAAACTAATGATGTAACGTATGGTGATTAACATAACATAATAAAATAAATTAAAAAAAATAAATAAAAGGAACAACCGCAAGCTTGATGGCAGATTGTCCTCAGCAAGGCCACACTTACAAAGCAAACAATCAGAGTCCCTCCAAAGGTCTTGTTCGGCTCACACTTAAGTCAAACTACTATAGTTCACTTTGTAGAGTACCTCAGGTGAATCATTTGGAAATAGGACTTTCATTCAGTCATTCAACTCATAACATTCTGGGTTCTGAGTACATGCCATTGAAACAAACAATGTGCCTCTCTTCAGAGACAGGGCAGAAGACAGACAATGAGCATATAAAACAAATAAAGGTGATTACAGATACTAATAACTACTACCCAGAAAATGAATCTGCATGGAAGGCAGGAGAGTGGCTGGGAGGTGTGCTGCAGTCCTTGTTTAGGAAGACACGCTCTGAAAGGTTTCTATGAGGAGGAGACATTTGAGCTGAGACTGAAAAATGGGAACTGAGCAGCCAAGTGGAGATCCTGGGAAGGCTGCTCCTTCCAGGAGAAAAGCATGTGCAGAAGCTTTGACGTAGTAATGAGCTTAGTATGTTCAAGGGACAGACAGAAGACACAATTCATGGAGCACAAGCGTGAGGGGATGAATTATGAGATGGGACAGGCAGACTGAGACCAGATCAGGGAAGATCCTTTAAGGAATTTTAATGTATTCTAATTGCAGTAGGAAGCCACAGAGGGTTTTAGTCTAGGCAGTAACATTATTTGAATCACGTATTTAAGAGTCCACAAGCCTGCCCTGAGGGGTAAGAAGGGAAGCAGGGGGCGGGGTGAGAAGTGGTTGCCGCAGCACCCACAAGGGCTCATTGGCTTTGAGCAGGGGCTTCAGGGAAGACGGGGGAAACCAACGGTCTGTTATCACATGTATTTTGTCGGTGGCATCAACAGGACTGGCTAGTGGATGAGATATGGGGGGCATGACAGAAAAAGAAGAGTCGAGGATTTTTGGTCTCATCGGCTGGTTCAGAAAATCAGATATTTGTTTAAGTTTGCTATGTTAAGCTTGGTATGTCTAGTAGGCATTCATGTAGTGATAGTTCTTATGGGTGTCTGCAGTTCAGGAAAGAATCGGGGCTGGACATAAAAAATTGTGGGTTATCAGCAACTTCATCTTGTAGATTCCAAAGTCAAACTATACCAACCATAACATCTTTCTAGCCCTTTGACTACAGTTTATGGTTATCAAAGCATAATAATATAATTGTTAGAGATGCCGTCTGATATCCCAAATGATGTCAATAATTGCTATTCTTTGGGTTTTCAACCAGATCATTCTTATCCTTCTGGATGACTGACAAACTGCAGTGTATCTTACTAAGTCTTCTCATAATTAGTTAATGCTTTTCTCCTGCCTATTCATCTCCTCCTAAGACCCACCTCATGATTCACCTCCTTCAAGATGCCTTCTGAAACACAGTACCCTCTTGAGTGATAATTTCATTTTGTTTCTTTATCACACAGATGGGGATGCTCCAAAAGGGGAATAATTTGGATTTTAAATGTGTCTTTGAATTTAATTTTTTGAGCATCAAACATAAGTTCCCACAGAAAAAAGATTATTAATTATAGCTCTTACTTGATAAGCCAACAACAGCCTATTCGATTGTTGGAAAGAACTCTAAAGGATCCAGGTTGGAAGCTCCAGGGGTAAGTCTGGAATCTTCTGCTGCAACAGGGAGTTAAGGTTCCAATGGTAGGACTCTTGTGACCAGTGAACATCAAGACTGGCAAGAGAGGAGCTACAGTTCTACCTAAAGACAAATTTCAGAATCATCTGAATTCCCCTGCATTGATTTTCAATATTTTTATGGGAAATTTAAGCCAGCAATGGGAGTATATAATTCCATATCCATGAAGGTAGTGTATATAAATGTAACCATGGTTTAAATGTAACCATTACACAGCATCAAAAAACTGGGGGCACTTTCATGCAGAAACAAATGATGCAGATGCACTAGAGAAAGGCAACTTTATAAATTTTGCACAAAGGCTTGTGAGGGTCCTGTGCCACACAGAGGAGGAAAGGTTGACTTCGAATTAAGCCAGTAGATAAAGCCGTGCTGAAGGAAAAAATTTAGGGAAAAAATCTAGAAATCTAGAAATGGCCAAGAGGCAGCATCAGCTAGGCTGACCATTTACAAAGCTCAATGGTGGATACCAGTTTACAGAATAAGAAATGAAGACAACTGTATCTATCTATCTATCTATCTATCTATCTATCTATCTATCTATCTATCTATC